AAGAGTAAGAATTAATGGGTCCTTTTCAAATTTGCAGGCAGTAACTAGTGGAGTGTCACAGGGATTGGTGCTGGGACCCACAGACTTATAAAATTCTAAAAGGATTGGATAGGGTAGATGCAGGGAACAAGTTCCTGATGGTGGGTGTGTCCAGAACCAGGGGTAACAGTATGAGCATTCGGGGTAGAATACTTAGGATGGAAATGAGGAGACGTTTCTTCACCCAAAGAGTGGTGAGCCTTTGGAATTCATTGCCACAAGAGGTAGTTGATGCCAAAACATTGAATGTATTCAAGAGGCGAGTAGATATAGCATGCAGAGCAAAGCAGATAAAAGTTTATGGAGGGAAAGCAGGATTAGGTATTGAGTTAGACAGTCAGCCATGATCATGAAGAATGGCGGAGCAGGCTTCAAGGGCCGAATGGCCTCCACCTGCTTCTATCTTCTATGTTTCTGTTTAAGTCAGGACAGTTTTCCTTGGAGAGAAGAAGGCTGAGAGATTGAATTGGAGTTTTCAACATCACGAAGAGTGTGGACAAAATGCAAGGGGAGTAACAGTTCATGGTCAAATGAATTGAGAATCAGAGGGTACAGTTTTCAAGTGTTTTGCAAAATAATCAAATGCAAGATGAGAAAATGCTTTCCATTACATGGAATAATTATGAAATGGAATGAGCTACTGGAAGTGTGGTAGAGACAAGTTCATTTGAGACATTCAAGAAGACATTGGATGATAATTTCTATTTAAATAATATGTAAGGTTCTGGGGCTGGGGTGGTGGGGGAGGGGGGAGCGGGGAGTGGTGTGGTGTGGCAAGAAATTTGAAATAAGTTTTAATGCACAGGATGGGTCAAATGACCTCCTTCAGGACAGTGGCATGTCTGAATCAGCACTTCATGTTAAATGCCACTTGAAGGAAGCACTGAGGGTGGAAAGGGCACAATGCAGTTGAGAGAGGACTTCAGTGTTGATCACCAAAAGTGGCTCAATAACTGAGTGAGTTAGCAGAATCCGAAGGGATATAACTGCTAGGTTGTGACAGAACCAAAAAGAAAAACAAAAGTTAAAAACCAAAAGAACTGCAGGTGCTGTAAATCGGAGACAAAATTAGAAATTATTGGGAAAGCTCAGCAGTTCTGAGGAAGAGTCACTTGACCTGAAACGTTAACTCTAATTTCTCTCCACAGATGCTGCCAGACCCAACGAGGCTTTTCCAGTAATTTCTATTTTTGTCCCAGAAAAACAAAGTTGATCAGCTTTGTTCTTAACTATCTACCTGTGGCATGCGTGTGTCCATGTCAGTCAGTAGGCGTAACCACTGCACAGTTGAGGTGGTGTCCCTCCTTCAAATTAAGGATATCCTCCATGTTATGTGGCACGGTCTCCTGATAAATAGGATGGGCTGAGAACAGGTCTACCGACTCAAAACTTGCAACTGGGCATCTGTGAGGTATTGTGGACCACCAACAGCAGCAGAATTGTATTCAGCCACAATCTCAAACTTCATGGCCTGGCATACCCCCAGCTCTGCCATTGTCGTGAAGTTAAGAGAACAACCATTGTTCCGTGAAGAGTGGTGGAGGGCATGATGCAGCATCATGGATCAGGATCAATAGTACCGAAAAATTAGAGGTTTGCATCATAAAGCTACAATTCAGGATTACATGCAAACCAAGTAGCAGACAAGAGATGGAGCCAAACAATTCTACAACTAACAAACCAAACTGGAGCCCTGCAGTCCAGTCACATCAATTTCAAATGATGGTGCCTCAGGTCAAATTGTTCCAATGCAGATACTACATTTTACAGTTTGCCATTTAGTCAGGTAGATGCGAATCAGACATCTAACAAGAGGTGGAAGTGAGAAAAGTATTCCCATCCATTGTGGTGGGGGAATCCAGCACAACAGTTTGGAAGACTAAGCTGAAATATTTGCATCCCTTTTCAACCAGAAGTGTGCAGTGGGTTCTTGAAGACCTTGATTCTCAGATGCCAGTCTTTGACTCATTCATTTCACTCTGCTGTCAGGCAACCGCTATGTAGCAGTATTCTGCTTAGTGATAAAAACCGTAAGTTCTGCTTACTGATGTTGAGTTCGCATTCTGCCAGTGTCACTTGACTTCATTATAGCCTTGATCAAAACATCAACAAAAAAGATAAACTTCAGAGTTCGGGATGATAGTGGCTGCCCTTGACATCATCAGCATTTGACCGAGTCTAACACTTGTTTTATGCTAATTGGGGAAAACTTTCTATTTGGCCTCATACCTAATGCAAAATAAGATGGTGTCGGTAAAAGTCAATAAGACATTGCGGGGCTGTTCACTGATGATTGCACCATGTTTAACCCCAATCACAACTCTTCCTAGAATAAAACAAAGAATGGTGGATGCTGAAAATCTGAAACAAAACCAGAAATTACTGGAGAAAACCAGCAGGTCTGGCAGCCTTTGTGGAGAGAAAGCAGAGTTAAAGTTTCGGATCTGATGATCCTTCCTCTGAACTGATGGTAGCTAGGAAAAGTGGTCCTTTATTTGCTTTGTTTGACCTTTGAAAACAAAATAAAAATTTTACTCTGCAATCACGGAATCTTGTAGCTTCATTTTTCCAGTGAATAACTCAGATTTTGAATTTTTGCTGTTTTCAAACAAAGTTACGAGTGTCAACCAAACTCATTATCGAAGCAAAAAATAAATAGCCCTCTACAGCTTGAATAGAAATGAAGTACTGCACATGCTGGAAATCTGAAATAAAAACAAAGTACTGGAGAAACAGCAGATCTGGCAGCATCTGTGGTTGATGTTTAATGATCAAAATATGAATGTTTTGACTATTTGGAACTAAAAGGAGCTGGAAACATAATGGGTTTTATCCTGTAATGAAAGTGAGAGAGGAAGGCAAAAGGGAGTGTCAATGGTTGTGGAGAAACCGTAGGTATAAATAGTCAAAAGTAGGTCAGTGTACTCTTCGCTGATGTTGATTATAGAACATAGAACAGTACACCACAGTACAGGCCCTTCGGCCCACGATGTGCCAAACTTTTACCCTAATCCTAAGGTCTATCTAACCTCCACCCCTACCTTTATACTATCATCCATATACCTATCTAATAGCCACTTAAATGCCCCTATTGAGGCCAACTCCACTACCCTCTCCAGCAATGCATTCCACACCCCTACCATTCTCTGAGTAAAGTACCTACCTCTGACGTCTCCCCTATATCTACCTCCACTCACTTTAAAACTATGCCCCCTCATAATAGCTACCTCCACCCTAGGAAAAAGTCTCTCACTGTCCACTCAATCTATACCTCTGATCATTTTGTACACCTCTATCAAGTCACCTCTCATCCTTCGTCATCCTAAGGAGAAAAGTCCCAGTTCTCTCAACCTTTCCTCGTAAGACCTTTCTTCCATTCCAGGCAACATCCTGGTAAATCTCCTCTGCACCTCTTCCAATCCTTCCACATCTTTCCTGTAATGCGGCGACCAGAACTGGACACAATACTCCAAACGTGGCCGAACCAGGGTTTTGTCTAGCTGGAGCATAACTTCATGGCTCTTGAACTCAGTCCCTCTAATAATGAAAGCTAACACACCATATGCCGCCTTAACAACTCTATCCACCTGGGTGGCAGCTTTCAGGGAACTGTGGACATGAACCCCAAGATCCCTCTGCTCCTCCACACTGCCAAGAATCTTTCCGTTAACCCTGTATTTTGCGTTCAAGTTTCTGCTTCCAAAATGAATCACCTCACACTTTTCAGGGTTAAACTCCATCTGCCACTTCTCAGCCCAGCTCTGCATCCTATCAATGTCCCTTTGTAACCTAGAACAGCCCTCCGCACTATCCACAATGCGACCCACCTTTGTATCATCCGTGAGCTTACTAATCCACCTTTCCACTCCTACATCCAAATCATTTACAAAAACCACAAATAGAAGAGGACCCAGAACAGATCCTTGTGGTACACAATTCGTAATTGAGCACTCGTAACTGAGCTGCATGTTCTCGGCTACCATTAGCTTTCACATTTGTCTCTTGTCCCAGGGTCTGGTTTAGTTTCTGTTGCACTTCTCCTCACCTTGTTTTTTTACAGAATAACATGATAGTTTTCCCAGCACCGTTTAAGTCAAAAGATAGAAGTTGAGTATCTTCAGATTGTATCACTGCTTGGGGCATGTCACAAGGTAACCCTGCTCAGACCACCTCTATGAACTTTTGTAACAAATATCCACTTCTGCAGCTATCCGCCATCTATCCCTGAAACCATCAGCATGTCTTGGTCTCTCCTCAACTTAAGTAGTGTAGTGCTTGCTTTAACATCCTGTGTAAACTTAAGTGCCTTTAGAATTTTGCTGTCCATATTCTATCTTGCAAAAATTCCCACTCACAGCACCCCCTCTACTTATGCCTGTTCTTGCTGTGCTGTATTGGCTTCCGGTCCACTAATTTAAAATCTGCATCCTCCTAATTAAACCCCAGTCTCTACATCCTCTG